AGCATAGGAAAGGAAATTTGGGGGAAAAATGTAGAGGTAAGGCATTTGTGTGATGCAGATATGGTTTTTTATTTGTTGATGAGGACGTGCATATGTTCTCAACTGGGCTGGACTGAGGTGTGTGTCATGCTGGGTAGTCTCTTTACAATCTAAATTATATATAGCAATTAAATGTATAAATAATAATTTAAAATAATAAATAAAAGTTATAATAAAAATAATAAAATAAAACACATTTAAAAACAAAAAAGAAAATGAGCTTAAATTGCATACAAAAATGTATGACTTTGAGGATGAACAGCTAAGATGAACAAAAATTACATTTCTTATTTTGATTTTGGGAAATAACATAATGAGTCAATCTTTGAACTAAAACAGTTGTTTTGCTTGTTTTTTTAACTCTTTGTCTTCAAAATAAAATAACCTAAAGCCAACCTTTTAAAATAAAAAGTACAAACTGATGTAACTTTTGCCAGCTGTTGATTTTTTAAAAATAAATGGCAAAATAGTGAAGATCAAGAACTCTGGTGGAACCAGCAGGTGGCTTGGTGGTTAAGGCATTGGACTCGCAAAACTCGCACAAGACCAACAGTGGTCGAGCCCCAGACTCAGTGGCTTGAAAATCAAGCCTGGCCAGGGTAGGGTGCCTGTGTGCCTGCCCAAAATCCCAAGAGGAGAATGGAGAAGGGATTGTATTGTGACCATCTCCCCGCTCCCCTGGAGGGGGGAGGGTGGGGGAGAGGAATTCTCACTTTCTCTCTCTCTGTCCTGCGAGCTGCCCTATGGCAAAAAAAAAAAAAAAAAAACCTTTAAATAAGTCAATAAATAAATAAAAGTAAAAACTGATAGCGGGACCCAGGGTTAAATCTCCTATAGCTCCACGCCTTGATCAAATTATTTATCCTCTGAACCTCTGCTTCATCGCCTATCACATGTCGTCGGTAACAGGAGTATCATTCTGAAGGGCTGCTTTGAGAATGAAATGGTTAAATGATACTGATCATAAAGCTTTGAGCTTGAAACAGTGTTCTTAATAAATGGGAGCTGTGCTAATGATAACCATTATTACATATATTTACCTAGTTGTAATTATTTACAACTTGGATGTGTGTATTTCTCACCTAGATTTGTAGAAACACTTTAAGTCTTCTTTCTTCAAAGGCGATCCCAAGGCTGTTGGAGGTTACAGCCGCCCCAGCCAGGTCGCATGACCCTCGTCTCCCGCGCGCAGGTGGCCTTCTCGTAGACCTGCTTGTGTCGCGGCCCCGCGTTGGTCCTGACCAAGCCGCCCGCGCCGCCCCGCCCGCCAGGGATGAGTGACGGCGACAACAGGTGCAGCGCTGAGTCCGAGGCTACTCTGGAGCCCCCGAGTTTGGAGCGTCAGGCCCCGGGACTCAGAGTTGGGAGAAGCTGCCTTCCTCACCTCGCACTAGCATTTGGAAGTCAACCCTCAACCGGCGTCTTGCACCTTAGTAAAGCCTTGAGGTCACCTGAAACCCTCGAAACCCACCAGTCCCAGAGGCCGACTTTTCGTCTCCGAAGTGGCGGAGAGGGAAAGGCGTAAGGTGCATGGAGCTTTGCGTTCCGGTTCGCTCACTCCTCCCCAGCCGTCCGAAAAGAGCCGAGAGCGGTCCCAGGACCGAGCCCTCGATTCGCGCACCCCACGCTCTCCCCGACTTCGCGGAGCGCTCTGCCCCTGAGAAGTCCCAGCTCAGCGACCACCGGCCCCAGCCGAGACCCGCCCGCCCGCGCGGGCCCCTCCTCTGCTTGCGGCGCCCGCCCGACTCGCCTCCAACCCCTGAGG